ACGACGATGCTGACGAAGTTTGACTGCGTGGTAATCGACGACGAAACCTACGTCAAAGCCGACTACAAGCAGCTTCCGGGACAGGAGTTTTATACGGCAAAAGGAAGGGGAAAGGTAGCAGATGTTTTCAAGCACATGGAACTGTCAAAGTTCGCAAAGAAATATCTGGTTTGGCAAGCCATCTGTACCTGTGGCTTGAAAAGCAGCATTTTCATAGCTTCCGGGACTGTCAACCAAGAAATTTACGTGAAAGAGTGTTTGAATAAACGTCTGCTGCCTTTCCTGAAGAAACACGGTTGTTCCGTACTGTTTTGGCCGGATTTGGCATCTTGCCATTACGGTAAAAAGGCCATGGAGTGGTACGCCGCCAACAACGTGCAGGTGGTTCCCAAGGACAAGAACCCTCCCAACACGCCAGAGCTCCGCCCAATTGAGAAATACTGGGCTATTGTCAAGCGGAACCTAAAGAAGACCAAAAAACTGCTAAGGGCGAGCAGCAGTTCAAGGCAAACTGGCTTTCTGCGGCGAAGAAGGTGGACAAGGTGGCTGTACAAAATCTGATGGCAGGGGTCAAGCGTAAGGCCCGGCAATTCGGATTTGGAAAAGTGGAAGCCTAACTAAATATTTTTCCTGAATTTTATACTAATTGAACTTGAAAAAGAAATTTAATTTGATTTTTTAAATAAACGATTTCACCGATTTACACGCGTTTTCCCTTGACCAAATTTTGACCGTATCACCCTTTATGCTCACCAATCGCATTTGCTTTCTCCTGAGGGGTGATTATGAGCCGATCGTCATCATTTTCATCTTTGAGTGGTGAAAGGGGTTTGGGTGCGTCTTTAGGACCTTGGCAACTTTCCAGAATGGTCTGGAGCGGTCGTCCAGATTATGGACGAGCCGCCCGAAACTTTCGTTCCGGAGTGAGACATTCTGGAAGCAATCTCCTTGTTCAGATCGGCCATTTCACGTTTCCTCGCTAGATCTCCGGTTTTTTGGAACTGGCGTCTACGAACATTTCTCAGGCAAATCAAGAGTTGGGTGTGGGAATTAATGGCAATAAACTTACCCCTCACAGGAACTCGTTGGACGCACGCCTCGTCAGCCACGATTATGGCTTGGTGGAGTCCCTCCAACGCTCGGTCGATGTCCTCCACGGTGTCAAGCGGCGGGTTGTCGATGATGTGCCTGTCTACCACGCATCCAAACTGGGCCCAGTTTACGCGGTGGTAGTCCTTGTGCAGACTTGAAGCAGGGGCCACATTGTAGCCCAGTTCAGCCACCACCGGTTGGTGGTCGGAGCTGAGTTCGTTCAAGGCTACCGGCTTGGACAAGCCGGCATTTGTCAGGAACAGGCCTAGCGTCGATGGGTTGCCCGCCAGTGAGATGAATGTTGGCTCATTCGAAAACCAAACGGAGTACAGCCCATGCTGCGAGTGGTCGAACAGCAGACGACCGTTCTAGTTCTGCTGGTAGTTCCGCCAGGCCTCATGGCGAGCATTTAGATCTCCTCCAACTACGAAGCGGGAACCGGTACGGGTGATGGTAGACAGGTCCTTCTTGAATTTAGCCGCTAGTCCACTGCTGGCGGCACACTGTCGAGGGCAGTAGACGGCGATGAACTGGACGTATCCAGTCGACGACTCCACCTCCACACCAAGGGCCTCGATGATAGAGGTGCGAATAAGGGACAGAGTGTGGTATTTTATTCCTTTCTTGACGACGACCGCAACACCCCCCCCCCCCCTGGAGCTGGTGCGATCAAGCCGGATAATGTTGCGGTCAGGCAACCAGAAGCTGCCGCCGGACTTTAGATGGGTCTCGGTAAGAAGGCCCACGTCGATGCTGTGCTTGCGGAGGAAGTCGGCAAGCTCAATCTCTTTTGCTCTTACAGAGCAAGCATTCCAGGTGACGATAGTAAGCGGTTTAAAAGCCATACTGGATAATGAACTTACCGAGCACTTGGATCTGTTCGGGCTTATTGCGGCACTTACGAAGAGCACCGGACATGTTGACGAAAATTTTCATCAGTTCGTCCGCTGAGAACAGATCGGGGTTGTTGTTTTGCGCTGTTGGCTGTTTCCAGAATCCAGGGGGATTGAGAGATTTGGCAAGCAGAATCCCCGGAAGCTTCTTGAGGGGGAGTGGGTTGCACCCGAAAATTCGCTTGCCTTTGCTGGGGACCACGAAGAGGCGGGAAATCCTCCGTCCTGAATGCTGGGGTTTTGTCGTTCTTGCGTCCTGGTTGATTATTGCTTGACGCCTGCTTCCGGATGCGTTTGAAGACCTTGCGTTTGGAGCACTGTCTATCGGAACCTTGATGTGCACCACCAAAGTAGGCGCATTTCAACGCCATGGCTCCATCCGCAGGGCAGTCAGAAGTGGCGTGTTTGCGAGCGCAGTTGCTGCAGCGTTGCTTGATGTTGCAGTTGCGGGTACCGTGTCCAAAATTGAGGCACCGCTGGCAATTCGTTACGTTACGATGGTCGCCACGGTATGGCTCCCACCGTATGATGATGCAGTAGATTGAGCGGATGGCTTGCAGCGCATTTGAGCGTCACCGTCCCTTTCTGGAAGTGCGCCAGGAGAAGGCAATCCGGGTACGTCTTCAAGTTTTCGTCTCTCCTTGTCATCCGAAAGACAGCAATTGGGGCCAGCTTGTACTGATCTTTGATTTCGGCTTCGATCATCTTGGGGTCGAAGTTTGGTAGGCCCCCGATGACTACCTTGAAGGGCTTCTCACCGGGGATGTCATGCGTGAAGAATTCCGCCTTGGAATCCTTCAAATATTTTACGGCCACCTCGTACTCCGCTTTCGTATGGAGCATCAGCTTGGTGCCGATCCTGCCGAGCTTAAACTCAGCTGCAACGTCCAGCGATGAGAGATCGCCAATCAGCATGTTAAGTGGCACTTGCTTCACCACCAGTGGAGCAAGCTCCATTTTTGGCCCTTTCGGACCGGCAGAATTCTCATTGTCGACGGCGTCGCCGAAATCACCGATGACGCTGACGTTCGTCGCGGTAGCATCGTCACGTCCACTCGTACCATCGGACTGGCCCTGATTTTTCTTCCTTTTCTTGGTCCGCTGGAGGTGGTACTACCAAGATCGGTGGGAAGAGTAGCGTACCTTTTCGAAATAGGTACACTCAAGCTACCCTCACCGCTGTTCTTGAACGTTTGGAACAAACTAGACACTTTCAAACAATTCGACAGAGCGAGCAAAAACCGAACTGTACTGCTTGACGATCAAGCAGAGAATGAGCACTCTGATCAATTCTGAAAAAAAAAAAACTCGACGGTATCTCTATTTATGCTAAGAGATACGCATCGTAAGTCCCTCCTACTTGGAGAATTATGCAATCGAACGGCTTGCTATGCCTTGCCCCCATCAGCAAAAAATCTGGGATTTCATGAACCGTTCTAAAGCATAATTTTCCAAGTAGGATGAACTTTCATAGCTTATCTAAAAGCACCCTCTAAAAGGTAACGTCTGATAATTTCAGTGCTTGGTACAGAAATCTGTATGTATTTTTTCCACCACAAAAATACCCCGTTTTCTTATGCAAAACAATGGATGTCGATAAACGAACGAAATCATTAAAAAAGCGATATTTAGTATATTTTTAATTCAATCAATAGATAAAAGATGTACCGAGAATTAAATGGAGGGATTTCAAGCTAACATTTTCTGATCGCGAGATATTCACGATCAATTCCTAAATTTCGCATATATGTCCAACCCGTTTTGTGAGTGTGCTACTGATTTTCACTGTTGCCCAATGCTTAGGGAACTTTCATAAATAACGTAGTAGTTGAGTGAGGAAGAGGGAGGGGGGTTTCAGAAGTTGTGACCGGCCATGCATGGCCACAGGTATAGCAAAACACGCTACGAGGGAAGGGAGGTTAATTGCTTTATACAAATACTACGTTATTCATGGATGGTTCCTAATTTTACTTCCAAGGCTGTGTCCCAATGGGAGAGTTAAATTTAACTCGCGGTTTAAAGTGACGTGAGTTATCGAGATGAGTTATAACTTTCAAAATGTCACGTTTAACCACGAGTTAAATTTAACTTGGCAATTGGGACACAGCCCAAGAGTATTTCTCGATTACTTTTTCGAAGGGACACTTTTGTAAACAACGCAATTGATCGTCGATTGGGGATAACTGGTAGCTCACCCACGCATGCTAACACTACCATCAGATAGGGGAATTTTTCCCCTACCTAATATAGTGATGTTAGTAGTATGCGTGGGCGAGCTATCAGTTACGCCGAACCGACGATAAAATGCGTTGTTTACAAAAGCTGATATGTCCTTTCGAAAAAGTAATCGAGTTTTGTAGAACGCGGGATCATTATCATTCAGGCAAGGTTGATCCACTTCGGAGTGATTGCGTCAGCAGCCAGAGATCTCGACGGGAACGACGCGCAGGGTTCGAGGTGAAAAACTCGAACGCTGCGCGCTTGGCAGATATCCGCTGCCTTCCTACTGTTGCTGCGGCTGCTGCTGCTGCTGCTGCTGCTACCTCCTCACCCGCAGCGATTTTTATATCTTTTCAGATACAAGAAGCACGATGTGAAACCAAATGGTACTCGATTATGACGACTGGGTTTGGGGAGAACGTTAATTTCATGAAAACAGTGAGTGATAACATTATCTATTTTTAGTTGTACATTTTTCAACAGTTTTTATGTAAAATTGAAAAAGCATTATTGTAGTAGATTTTGAGAGTTATGTCCTATCGATGGGTGTACTTGGATTTTAATTTTATCTAAAAATGACAAAGCTATAGGTGTTCAAAACCTTACACCTTAGCGTGACGGTCGCAATTTTAGATTTTTGATTTACCCCCAGTACCTTCCCGTAAGACGTAGTTTACGTCAAAAACAATACGCATCTTGGGCGTTCCAGTTGATCGCCACTTAACCTTCACGCAACACTTCCAGAGCGTTAAGAATAGTTGCAAGACCCACCTAAACCTTATCAAAACAATCTCCATGCCGCACCGCACCAACAACCGAGCTATCCGGCTGCATGTAGCCAAGGCAGTTATTGACAGCCGTCTACTCTACGGTCTGGAGCTCACAGCAATGGCCAAGGACAAACTGTTGCAAGTCCTTGCACTGGTTTACAACGGTTACATCCGGGGAGTTTCAGGTCTCTTGCCCTCGAAGCCGGGTACTTCCTTTCCTGTTTCGAATCGACACCGCAGTCGCCATCAAAGCGGCTGCCTACTTGGCAAAAACATCGGGTAACGAATGGATCTATCTCCTCGAGGAGGGGAACATAATCCTCCATACAGCAGCCAATAGCGACCTCCTCCCAATAGCCAAGAGCCACTGGCTGGGAGGAAACAGTTGGCAATCGAGACCGCTAAACATCGAAAGCCGAATTAAGGACCAGTTTATTCCGACATTCCGTCGCGGAGATGCTAAACTCCGAGTACCCCAGACATACGCACCGTTTTACGGATGGGTCCAAATCGCACAACGGAGTTGAGATAGGCATTGCGGGAAAGATCTCGTCAACGAGCTTGAGCCTACCGCCACAATGCTCTGTTTTTTTTTTTTCTGCAGAGGCAGCGGCGATTTTCGAAGCAGTAATCACACCATCCGACCGACCAGTCCTAATCCTCACTCATTCGCACAGCGTAATTTCTGCTCTCCGGTCCAACATGCCCACTCATCCGTGGATTCAGGGGATCATCAGACATGCCTCACCCCTCCCCCCCCCCCCCCCAAACAGCATTGTGGTATCACTGGCAACTCCAACGTTGGCAGAATGGCCGGGGCGGGACCATCTGGTTATAGGTACACCTATGAAGTTCCCCTTCTGGACAACAAGCGATGGGTTGAAACTTCCATGCAGGCTAGGTGGCAAGAAAAATGGTTGGCAAACCAAGGACCACTTCTAAGGTAAATCAAGGAGAGCACGCGTCCATGGAAGGACCTTGGGAACCTGAAGGAGCAACGAGTCATCTCCAGGCTTCGCACAGGTCACACCAGGCTGTCACACAATTTCGGCAGAGGAGTTTTCCGCAAGACCTGTGTCGTATGTAATAATCCAGCCACCGTCGAGCATATCCTCTGCGAGCACGAGCTCGTGCGGCAACACTACAGCCTTTCGGGGATTATCGGCGACATACTGGGCGACGAACCTTCGATCCTGGCTACCCTGATCTCCTTCCTGAAGGACGCTGGTTTGTTTTTCAATGTTTGTGGAAACGTCACCGTTACTTGGCGCTAGCATCTCCTGATTTCCTGTATACATTTTCCACTTTCGCCCAGTTTGGCGCTAGTGTCGATACATTTTTGGTTGAAAATTACCACTCAGCACTACCGGCACTTAGAGTCTAGTGTGAGTTGAGCAACACCAGCGCCATCTTGTTGTCAAAGAGGGGTTTTAAATGGGGAAGTCGGCGTTGGTGGCGCATAAAAGTTGAATAGGAATCTTTACACAAGTTTTTACAGAAATTTTGTTCGAGCCTCAATGTTTGTTCTTTGTGGTTTTACGTTGTTCTTAAACATTTTCAGAATATTAATCGTAATAAATTCATTCAAATTGTAATGCCTCCTATACTGAATGAGTCTTTAAATATTATAATGATTTATTTTTGTGATGTGATTTCTCCTAAAAACTGTGAGATGAATCAGATTGCGGCTGAAAATCTTGATAAAAGACACATACACACAAATCTCCAAGAACAAAAATGCTTAGAATGAACGTTTTTCCATTTAATGAGTTTTTGTACAATTGTTTTGGTCACTCTTTCACTTTCACTAATTTGACTTTGTGCCAATCTATCCTTATATTTCCGAGTCGTTTTAATTTATCAATTATCTTCTTAAAACGCTCCGTAAATAAGAAAAGCTTAAAATCACCTGGTATACTATGTGGCATGCCCATTCAGTCTGCAACAATCTATAACGGGACCAGGAATCGAACCTTCCTTCAATATTGCTACTAAAATATGTAGGCTTTCTTGCATCGAGTATGACCCTCGAGGTTTGGTAGGCAAAACCATACTTTTAATTTTAAAATGCTTCGTGGAACTATCGATGGAAAAGTCAAGATACTGCACATTAACGTCACGTGACGTCACCCATCTGGAAGCCACTAACCTTTCAAGTATCAATCTAACACCACGAAACCACTCAGAGCGATCTCTATCAGCGTTAAAAACAATTTTGCTACCGATCTCTCAACGCAACAACTTCTCCACCGCCGGCCTAGACAAAGTGGCATCAACCTCAAAGTCCACCCCCTTCACGCGCCCGGATTCTTCGAACCCATACGTGGATCCATTAAACGAAATCCATTTTCCATCTCAAATCTATTGACTTAGGAAATGTTCACCGCGTGCTCGACTCTCACTTTGACCGTATACCTCACCCACCTATAAAGTGTATCTCGAAGCTCAATCTCGCACGCGGGAGAAAGAACGCGTTAATGTTCGCGTCAAACTGATTGGCTAACAAAGAGTTGAAAGAGGCTCAACCGCCGCCGTCCGGCTTAAACGGCAAAACGACGCGAGCCGCCAAAAAATCTACAAGCATAAAACACTTAAACATAACAAATGGTTATTATGATTTTTGATTATTAACTGAATATGTTTCTCCCTAGCACCGAGCAAAAAAAGCGACTCGAAAAATGAGAAATGCTTCTCTCCATCACCGTATGTGTATTATGTGCGAGAGTGTACAATACGCCGCCGCAGGAGGTTCTCCGAAATGAACTCTCCACCACACCAAAGTGCATACGGTCGACGACGGTCCAAATGCTCCCGAGATCCGAACAAAAAGCCATCCCCGTTCACCGTCTGCCTCTCAGTCCGAGTTAACCCAAATAAACGATCCAGAAAGTCCCGTGTGAGGAATCATCATCAAACATCTATAAACATGATATTAATTACCTGAATAACACCTTCATATGTTTGTTCAAAGGACACCGCCTGGTTCTCTGCCGGACGAACCTCAGATCTAAGCCATAAGCACAGGCACCTCCCGGAGGCAATCTTCCCGTCTCTCCCTCGTCCTAATCCCCGAGAAACGTCCTAAAACGAGAAACGGACCGATCATCAACGAAAGAAACGGAACGACCACTAAGCCGGAGCGCTCGACGTGCAAAAAGTGAGGGTGTTTATTAAATTTCTGCTCGTTTCTGGAGTTTGATGTTTCCTCTCATTCACCGCCAAGTCCGAGTTTTCGGGTTTCGGAATCACGAAGCCCAAGCCCCGGCGTGATGGTGTTGATGATGATGATTGCGGGTAGCCACGGCCGGGCGAGAAAATGAGCCCATTCCTAATGGTGTGAAGTTATAGAGCGGCAGCTGACGGGTTTTTCGTTTGAAAAATTGGTTGCGACGGATGATCTTCGACGCGCCAACAACGTGGCAAATGATGGCCAACTGAAGCGCAGGGTGTTATGAGTGGAGCAGCATTGGATGCAACCAGAAATATGCATGATTAGAAAGCGTTTGCATTTTTTTTAAAGATGACTTCTGTTCCGTGGTGACACCTTACGGAGTTCGTGCTTCATTATAGCCCAGCATCTTTCGATCGGCCGCAACTCCGGTGTGTTTGGGGGATTGAGATCCTTCGGCACCAAGGTGACCCCATTCGTCTTGTACTACTTCAGAACGTCCTTGAAGTAGTGACAAGAGGCTAGTGGTTGAAAGCAGAGCAAAATGTCGATTCAACCGTTGTACAAAACCTTATGGGTGACATTAAAGATTTTACTCGAAAAAAATGCAACACTTTCTTATGTGTATAACTTTTTATTGCATTTGTAAAAATTGATGAAATTTTGAGTAAAACTAGTTTAGAGTGCAATGTAATGTGATAAATCTCGTCACAATCTGGCAAGTTGTTATCGAGATGGCTTCCAAGCAATAAGTGCTTCGACAAGTAATTATAGGTGCGGTCGTGGAAAATCCAGGCCAGTTCCACAGGTGGATCGCGAAACAGTTTGGAAGCAACAATTCGACCGTGTTCCGTGTGGTAAAATAGATCAAAGAGACCCAGACGACCCAGCAACGAGCTGGCAGTGGAAGAAAAGCGAAGACGGACGATCCCGTGAACGCAAGGAAGTTACTTCAAGTGCAATCCGATCCTTTCGATTCGGGACGTGACCAAGAAGGTCAATTCTTCCGTCTGGTTCGTCCAGCAGACAATGAAGCAGGCCGGACTTCATGCCTTCAAGGAAAGGAAGGCCCCTAACCGAACCGATAAACAGAATACGGTGGCCAAATCCCACACCAGGAAGCTGTACCGTGCGAGTGGTTGGTGCAGCTGAAATGCATCATAATGGACGACGAGACGTACATTCAAGCGGACACCTAGCAGATCCCCAGCCTGGAGTTTTTCGTCAGCAGTGCGGCAAATTCAGCAAGCCGTACATTACGACCGGCACCATCAATGGCCAAATATATAAAGAAGAATGCCTGCGGAAGCGTGTGCTGTCCTTCCTCCGGCCCCACGAAGGTGACACTTTGTTTTGGCCGGATCTGGCATCGTGCCATTACGCGAAACCGGTAATGAGAGTGGTAAGAAGCCAACGATGTTTTGTTTTGTGCCGAAGGAGGTAAATCCGCCAAACTCGCCAGAACTTCGCCCAATAGAAAAAAATTTGGGCGATTATGAAGGGCATGCTCCGGAAAATAGGGAAGGTATTAAAAAACGCCAAGGATTTGAAGAAAGATTGGGTGAAAATTTTTAAGAAAGATGGCGCAAGTGTTGCACAGGATTTGATGGGTAGCGTTAAGTCCAAGGTACCGGCATTTAGCCTAGGAGAGGAGGTTGAATAATGCGGTGTTTACACTTATGCTATTGCACTAGCGCTAATGAGCCAGCTACTAGCAAAAAAGCTCACCAGCATACCCAACAAACAATTGAGAGCTCTTATAAAACACCTGAGTTGATCAAACGTTGAATAATAGCTTCCAGAGTTGTACAAGAATGTAGTTGTAGTGCCATTTGGTTAAAAGCTTCAAAAACTGCTTGGAGCACTCTTAAATGATTGTTTACGTTCGGTTAAACTGTTTGACAGGAGCCATATAGGATGTGGAATAAACGCATCAAAACAAACCATTGGAAGCTCTTATAAAACACCTGAGTTGATCAAACGTTGAATAATAGCTTCCAGAGTTGTACAAGAATGTAGTTGTATTGCCTTTTTGATTAAAAGCTTCAAAAGCTGCTTGGAGCACTCTTAAATGATTGTTTACGTTCGGTTTACCTATATGCTTTATAAGACCTACGATAACTTTTATAGCACCTTTGTTAAACTGATTGACAAGAGCTATATAGAACGTGAAATAAACGCATCAAAACAAACCATTGGAAGCTCGCTCTTATAAAACACCTGAGTTGATCAAACGTTGAATAATAGCTTCCAGAGCTGAACAAGAATGTAGTTGTATTGCCATTTGGTTAAAAGCTTCAAAAGCTGCTTGGAGCACTCTTAAATGATTGTTTACGTTCGACCAACCACCAACCACAATTTTGTTGCTAAAAATAGCACAAGTGATAGGCACGTTTATATGACCATAAGGCAATGATTATTCGACTGCAAGAGAAGTCACTCAAGATGAGCTTCATATAATTCTCTCATATGATCAAAATATGTATTCAAGAATAGAGCAGATGGAAACAGAAGCTGCTGGCAATCCGGGATCATGAGTTCGAATCTTGCTTCGAGAAACCCTTGGTGGAGTAGAGGTAAATTATATATAGGTGTTATTAATAAATGCAAACATTAATTTAAGACATATATCATATAATCAACGATAACATTTCTAGATAAATTCTCTCAATTAATGATTAGAGAGATTAATTGAAAGAATATCAATCAAAGATTAAACAGATGCTTGTTACTACTTCCTCCATGATCACAGAATGTGAATTATGGCATAATTACATATTTTTTCAATGTGTACAAATAAATTAAATTAATAAAAACTGTACAAGCAATTATTTTGGCGTACCACGACAATTGTTAAACTAATTTTAATCTGTGAATATTGTGAGTACTTACACAACGGTTATTAAGGAGTAATTGAAAAGTGCTATAAACGCTTTTCACCGCTTGCTGTATAGTGATTATTTAGGAGTCATAAAAGAGTGTAACAAACGCCTCTCATGTTCAATCTCTAATACATTTCGAAGCAACTGTTAGGAGGTGTCTACAAACGTTGTATTAGAGCTTTCACCAAAA